GAATCTACACTTCCCTTGCAAACTTTACTACCCTGCTTCGGGGAACCCTTCTTGGTTTCTCAGCACTTATTTTGTACTTCCAAATCAGTTCATTCCTCAAATACCCGCTTGGTAAATTAGGCGCTAAGCAGAGCATTATATACGGGGTATACAAGGGCATTTTTGCTGTCAGGGAACTTGGATTATATTAAGCTCACAACCGGTGGAGTGCACACAGAACTAGAATTTGAAATTAAATAACTGAATATTAAGAGGAAGAAAAGTACTTCAGAAAACAGTAAAAGCACATGCTGCTCCAAGGTAACAACCACGTGGCAACTGAAACTAGTTTTGTGTTAAAACCTTGGTAATATGGCCTCAGTGACAGGTATCTGGGTCCACGTTTTCTCCTCTAGTCCCCTATTCTATTAAACACGCTTTGGTAGCATCATTTCTTGCTTATCTCTGTACGTTGCTCTTCCAAGTCTTGCAATGCTGGTTTAAATGACTATAGGTGTTGGAATAGAGGCTTTGGATAATCTTTAATTTTCTGTAATACTTTCCAGATAGGTTTTCTTCCTTGACACTTAAGTCTTGCAATGTAACACAACTGCTAATGATAGTAAAACATAATCATTAACAGCGCTTGTCACTTACCGTTCTCTTTCTCCAGTTTCTATTAACTTTTGGTTAATCGCAGCTCTCATCTGTGCATCTTTGTTCATCTTGCTAACCTGTACATCAACATGTATTTTGAGATACAGAATATTTAGAAAAGTATTTTTCTTTTATATCCTCTAGACAATCATCCTAACACATCCAACATTCTATTAAGGGAAAGGGTGATAATTTCAATATGCTAAATGATATCAGTATGCCTATATTTACTGTATTCCCCTTCCCTTCTATACCCTTTATTATAGAGTTTTTAGAAAATAACTGCATGTAACATTTATTAAGAACTTATATACCTTATAGAGCTAACACTATGGCTTTTTAAAAATTCATATTTAACTCCCAAACTTACTGCTACATAGTATTACCATAATTTGTATTTTACAGATGAGAAAACTGAGGCACAGAGATAGAAAATGGAGAAGGCAGAATTTGAACCTCGGTCCTTGGATCCCAGAAACCCCAAACAGCTTATTTAACTGTACAGCTATACTGACTATTGATTATTTCTGCATCTTACCTTAATTTAAATTTTTGGGAATATATAACCTGCATATTAATAAAAAACTAGACATTACTATGTAAAATGAAACAACATGCCTCTAAGTGCTTTACAGTTCATTAAGATTTACTCAGAATTACACTGCTACACTAGCCCTGTGTCTCTCCTATCACTGGGCGGTATAAGGGAAAACAAATTCCAAACTAATAGTTAACTGAGAAAATTCCTAATTTTCATTAAAAACGGACAAAGTTAAAAAAAGGGGGGGGTGTAGAAAGAGGAGTACGGTTGTTTTCAGGACATTTTGGTCACTTAGAAGTTTGAATAATATCCGGAACAAGCTCATTACTTTTCTCATTTACCACCTCGTCTGTAGCGAAAACTAAGACTGACAATGAGTTTTCAGAGTTGGACTGGGCAAGGCGCAGGGGAGCGGAGGGGTTGAAAACTAGGCAAGGTTTTGCTTTCGTGGCTGGAACTTAACATTTTCAAAATAACTGAGAAGTTTAATCAGTACCAAATCAAGACTGTCGAAACTTCATCTCGCTTTGGTCCCTAGAATCACGGACAGTGACCTTGGACAAGTCACTTAATTCTTAAAGGCCTCAGTTTTCTCACTGGTAAAACAGGGCGCTAGGGGATCCCTCCCAGTTCAGACATTCTTTAGGAAAATAAAATAAGGCGGAGACAGCTGGAGAGGCGGGAGGGGAGGAGCCAGAAAACAAAGCGAAGACTGGCTCCAGGCCAACACCAGCAGCACGCCCTGTCGGAGAGCCCTACAGGCCCGCGAGCGCGGGTTGGGGAAGCTAACGAAAGACAGCACATCGAAAGGAGCCTGGGCTGGGCCCGGGTCCCGGCCCTGAGGACCACGGGCATAGCTCACCACCATCACCGCGGGCGAGGGCCGTCCCTTCCCAGCGACGAAATGACCCTTGCGCTGGCGACCGTTACCTACCACACTCTTCGGCTGCCCGGACTTAGACCCTCAGTAGCTCGGGCACCTAAGCACACAGAAAGCTAGAACACGCATTTCCGGGGCGGGATCTGGCCACCCTGCCTATAATGTGAGAATTCAACTAGCGCGGGCCGCCTTCTAGGCGCTCAGCCCTCTGGGTAAGGAAGTCCAGAGTCAGCTAGCGCGGGGTCTATCAGTTACCAGAAAACTACATATCCTACCATGCACCAGGATCAGTTTTCTTACGGACACTACATTTCCCTGAAGGCATTTGGCACCGTAGGGCCTTCTGGGATGGGAACCACGCCGCTTCCCAGCCCCAGTTGCCGGAGCGAAGCGCGGACCTTTCAACAAGAGCTTTATTGATTCTCCCGCTGGGCTCTTGCGAGGCGATGGAGGCGGCCAATTGCTCCCTGCAGGTGAAGAGACCGCTGCTGGACCCCCGCTTCGAGGGTTACAAGCTGTCTCTCGAGCCGCTGCCCTGTTACCAGCTGGAGCTTGATGCAGGTGGGATTGGTGGCGCCCGCTGGCTCCGGGTTCGTTCTTCTTTAGGCTGCTGTCGGCGCGACCCTCCGCGTGACCCCGGCCCCGGGACACGATGGCCTTCCTCCCGGCGCGTTCTGCGGGGTGCACTCGGCAGCCGCCCCGGGAGAACGGTGCCCATGCCGGAACCCAGGGCGGCCGCTTCCCTTCCCGGGGACCGTGGGTCGCCTTCGCCGGCAGCCGGCTCCTGGGCCGACACGGAGGCTAGCGGGTCCCCTCCGCGGGTGCATCCCGGGCCTGGCCCCTGCCGGGGGATAGGTCAGGACACCCTTCCTTGTAAACGTGTTCGCTGAGAAGCCACACCTCCTTGGAAAATCCCCAGCTCCTTTTTCCTCTGACGCTGAGCCATTTGTTAGAAAAGAAACTCCCACATTCCTGTTGGCATTTAAGAGTGCCCAGGACCCTGAGACATTGACGACTCTGTGTAGGCAACAACGCTAGAAATTAATGAGGGACAGATGATTTAGTGAGCACAGCACTATTTTATCTGTTGCTGGCCAGTGGATATTCTCAGGCGTGTTTTACAACGTTAAAAACTGCAGTTTTGTTAAGTGCCCAGAGATCTGCTTTTTGAAATACATGCTTTTGCACGTTCTGATTTTTATGGGCGTTTTCTGTGGAACAAACTTTTGAGAAATAACTGATCCAGAGTTAGCGAACGTTTGAGTATCGAACCTTTACTATTTAATTCGATTATTAAAATAAGAAGTGTGGGGGCTGGAAAGGCTGCGCGGTTAAGAACACTGGTTCTTTCAGAAGACCTGGGTTCAAATCCCAGCACCCACGTCCCAGCTAACAGCTGTCCGTAACCTCAGCCCCAGGGGATCCGACAGTCTCTTCTGACCTTCCCGGGCACTGCACAACAAGGGTGCACTTACCTACATGCAGGCAATACACGCATACACGTAAAGTAAAAATAATAAATAAAAAAATTAAAAAATAACAAGCGTCTTTCCTGGACCCGTTTCGTGTTACATTATGATGATTACATGATCAGTATGATGCAATTCATAACTGCACAGTATAAATAATACCTACTTAGGAAGAAAAGTCTAAATAGTTATAATGTGGGCTATTCGAGATCGGGATGCTGCAAAATGCAGTGGTAGTAGCTGAGTGTATTTTCTCAGCTTACCTGGAGATATGGGGAAGCTTCTTGGAGGAGTTAATAAATAAGTTAAGCTGTAAAGGATGGACTGGTAGCACTTGGCCAGTATAAGAGAGGATGACAATGAAAATTAATACATTCAGAGCAGCCACCTTTTTTAAATTGGTCATTGGGGAATGAGCACCTTTATTTCATATTTGTGATCTTGAGTAAAACTCGTGATTAGTGTAGTTAACAATTATGATTACAAGGTGATGGAATTTAGATTATTTTACTGTGAATTTATTCATGGAAATTTGGGGTTTCTCCTAGCTTCTAGGATTCCAACACTCATGAGACTGCCCAGGGCATCAAGGGTATGCATATCCAAAAAGCTACCAAGTATCTGAAAGATAAATTTTTATTTCATGTATTTAAAATTCAGGGAGTAGTGTTGGCCTTAAGGTTGGGGTGTAGATTCTCTAGTCATTGAACATATCCGGTGAACCTGAGATACACCACTGAACTTACAGAGGTGGTGGGATTAACCCATACTTGAACTTACCTCTGTGTCACTGAGAAGACCCTCACTGTAAAGGAGAAAACTGATCCTAAGTCAGAGGAGGAAACTACACAGAAGAGAAAGATATCCCTGAAGAAACGAAAACTTGTGACACAGGAATGAATTCAGCATTAAAAAAAATACAAATAAAAATTTTAAAACAGTAACTTCCTTTCTTTGTCTTTCATTTACTTCATTTCCTTCCCTCTTTCTCTTCTGTGTGTTTGGTTTGCTTTTGTCTCCATTTCAGTAAATGGTACTGCCATGAGAAGTTGGCTAATTCATTGGAAACAAAACAAAGAAACAAAGCCTAATGGCTGCAAACGGCACTACTGCTCACAGATGTACACGTCAGCAAGTGGTGCATAGTCCTCCTAGGGCTCAGTCATGTGTCCTTGTTCCGTTATGGGTCTGCTGAGGCAGCCATGTTCATTTGGCTTGACTTCCTAAGGGGTTCTCTGGCTATGTGCTTTATCTCAGATTTTTTCAGGTGCTCTTCGGATGGCTGTGCTACCTGTTGTTGGTCATCCTTCAGCATCCTAGCAAAGGATTTCTGAAGGAGGTGAAACAGTCCGTAGGTGCTGTTTCAGTCTGCTTTCAGCATCTCCTCTTTCCCTGTTGGCCAAAGCAAGTCAGCTAATCAAACCTAGAGTCAGTATTCAAAGGCCCTGCTAGAGGGTCTAGATCCAGAGAGACATAAAAGTGTAGATGGTGGACGTCTAGGAAGTTGTTCCTGTTGGAGTCCTCTTGGCTGTGTTTTTTGTTACCCCCTGTCAATTTGTGAGCATGTGCATGCAGTCATCTCAGAATCTTCATTTAACATGTGTTTGATGTTTCCTCCCCCTTGTTTGACCAGCCAAGGCCCACCCTTTATTCCTTCATCTTGGTTTATGTGTTATTTCCTCAAGTATTCCTTTCTGAACTGTCTAGTTAGACTCTATACTGTAAAATCTGGACAAGTTAGAATGTGTCCCGTACTTTCCCACAGTACCCAGTATTTAATAGACTATCACGTTGTAGCACTTAATACCTTATTTCTCTGCTAAGAGTGTTAGTTTTGTATTGATGGGTCCCTGGTCCCTCCTGATCAGTGATTTGTGTCCAGGGCTAGAGCATTGCCTGGTGAGTAGTAGTAGATGATTCTCTCTCTCTCTCTCTCTCTCTCTCTCTCACACACACACACACACACATACACATGTACACATTTAATGACTTTATTGAGATAATTGAAAGTAAAGTGCACATATTTAAAGTGTACAATTTAAATAGGTTTAAACCTGTTCATTCATGAAATCAAGGTACTAAATTTAATTATTGTTCCCCAAAGTTTCCTTGTACCCGCCTGTAGCTCTCTCTCTGCTCTTCCCACATTACTACCATCCCTGAGTTATATTATACTGTCGGTCAGTTTGCGACTACCATAAATATGTGTGCATTTTCTTGCATTTTTGCACATAGAATCACACACAGTGTACATCTGCTTTGAAGTCTGTCTTGATATCAATCTCATCCCAGCTTTCTCTTGATTAATTTTATAATAATATATATTACCTATTTCCATCCTTTTACTGTTTGCATCTTTTCATTAAATACAAATTTCTTATTGGCAGAAATAGTTGTCTTGCTTTTTAACTGAAATTGATAATCCTTATGTTTTTGTTTTTAAACTACATTTAACGTGACTGATTTTGTTAGATTTGAGTCCTTGATTTCCTATTAGTATTGTGCTTATTCTGTCAGGTGGTTAGAAGGATCAAGTTTTCCCATTTCTTTTCCTTTTGGATTGAAAATTCTTAAAAGCAATTTCAGTTTGCTTTATTAACTGTAGTGTGTTGTTATAATGATCACTTTAGGTATTCAGCATGTATTCCCAACTTACTATATAAAGGACACTTTCAAATGATGGTATACTATTTAATAATGTATTGGAAGAACTTTCATCTTCATGTCCTTTCTTATCTCTCTGTCCCTTTATGTGGTTGTCTCATATATTGCTTTTTTAATTTTACTGTACAAATTTTATTTAGATAATTATCTCTTAAAAAGATGGCTCAGTGGTTACATGCACTGACTGATCTTGCAGAGGATCCAGGTTCAGTTCCCAGTACCCACATGGTGGCTAACAACCATCCTAACTCCAGTTGCAGGGGATCCAACATACTCTTCTGATCTCCGTGGGCATTGCACAACATGGGTACACTTGCACACATGCAGGCATAACACTCATGCACATTACAAAAAAAAAGGGGGGGGGGCTGGAGAGATGGCTCAGCAGTTAAGAGCACTGGCTGTTCTTGCAGAAGACCTGGGTTTGAATCCCATCACCCACATGTCTGTAACTTTAGTTCCAGGGGATCCGACACCCTCTTCTTTCCTCTTTGGGCACTGCAAGACATGGGTGCACTTACATACATACAAGTATAACACACTCATACACATAAAATAAAAAATAAATTAATTAAAAAGCATTTGTGTAGTGTCTGTCCATGTAGTTGACCATTTCTGGTGCCTTTCATTCCCTTTTGTAGGTTCATGTTTTCATCTGGTGTAGTTTTTCTTCTGCCCAAATGACTTTTAGTATGTCTCAGAGTCTTGTGGTGATGCGTTCTTTCATTATTCATCATCCGAAAACATCTTTATTATGCTTTGATTTTCAAAAGCTTTCTTTTGCCATATATATAGAACTTTTTGTTCATTGCTCTAGAGATGTTGGTCCATCTTTTACCTTATTGTTCCTTATATTTTTCTTCCATTCTTTTTTGTGTTTTATTGTGAATAGCCTCCACTTTCATGCTGTTAATAATCTTGCTTCTTTTGCAGTGTTAATCTGTCATTAATCTCATCCCATGATCTTGGCATCGCCAATATCCTGGGGTCTCCATTGCACGTTAGTCTTCATCTTCAGTTTCACACACTGCCATTTACATTCTCAGAGACTCTGACCCAGACACAAATTGCCTGGCCTCAGTGGTTTTTATAAGACTCTCTGACCCCTTCAGTCTTCAGCCTTTCATCTTTCATGTCTAACGAAGCCAGTATCATGTGGATGATGCTGCCAAGTTCTGCTACTGACTTGGGCTGGAGCCTGGCCCTTTGGCCCACAGCTGTAGTGGACTCTGTGCTTTGGTGGTTCAGTTTGCAAAGTCACTTTCCTAGACAGTTGTTTTTGAGGCATAAACCCTTTCTGCAGTATTCTTAAATTAGGCTTTCTCCTTTAATAAACTTTCATAAGCTGGAGCCTTTGGTGGGTCATTTGCCTTCAGGGCTCCTTCCCTGTTGCACAGTGAAGAGCATGGGTTTCTCTCTAGCAGTTCC